GCTTCCTCAGAAGAGAATTTTGTTTGCAGTTTCATGCGCTCTCGGGTGACAGCGCCGGTGCCATGGGGGACAGCCAGTGTGCACACGGGGACACTGAGCGGGAGCCGGTCCAAACCCTCACAATGTGGGCAGTTCCAGCTCCAGATTTCATGAGGAGGGTGAACGCAAACATGTATTTAACTGACTAGAGAAATGCGACTACACAGTGTCATGCATTGAGGGCTCATTCTCAGAATGGTCACGTGATCCCTAAAGCATTCGTCACCCAAGAAAGGGACCCAGTGTTACCCACTCTGATGAAGCCAGAAGTGGTTTCATCTATTATGTGAAATGTATGCGAGAAAAGTAGGTCTGGAGGAATGTGTGATTACCCTTAGTCAGAAACCTATATACATAAAATAAGTATATGCTTGCATATATTCTATGGACATACACAGTAGATAACATGTTATATGCAATAGAACATGCCATGGGCAACTTAACGTGTTATACATGTATAATGTAATATATAAAAGATTAACTATATTATATATTTATAGGTTATATGTAAACATGTACTTATTTACATGTTTACATATAATCCATGATACTTAAATGTATATTTAATTAAGATATGTTTACATATAACCTATAAATATAGATGTGTATACAGGGTGGAGCAAAAATAGGTTTACAATTGTTCCTATGGAAAAGATATGAAGGTCATGATGATTACAGTAGCTTTATTAACTCTGTAATGTGCTCACGTCTGTAAGCCACCCCCATGTATATACACCCTGCTCATTGTGGGCCAGATATTTTCAGTTCTCTCTCTTTTGGCTCTGCACACAGTGGGTGCTCAATACTGCATGTTGTGTGAGGAATGAAGGAGGAGCTAAGTCACTCGCTTTGATTTTTTTCTTAGAGAAGATGGCAAGGGGAGCCAGAGGCTGCCCATCATTGTCACTGACCCCAGCTAGGTGTCCCTGAGCTCCCTCACGCAGAATCCAAACACAGTTAGTACATTTGCAAGCAGGTCCCAGCCAGGAGAGCAAGAGAGAACCACAGCCCATCAGCTGAGAGTCCCGGGGGAAGCCATCTCCCTGGTCTTGACCCTGGAGTTCAGGGTGTGCCCAGCACGTGGACAGGGCTCACGGGCGGGTCTTGTGCTTCTTCAGCTTGGGTTTGGGAGGCACTCGGACAAGGTGAGGGCAGGCAGTTTAATTCATAACATGGCTTGGTCACACCACAGTGGCCATAAGAACACTACAATTAGGCATGAGATTGTATTCCTCTGCTAATAGGCTCCAAACCCTGAAAATAGCTGAGGAAGAAAGGAATTCCCCTCAGCGACAACAGACGGAAACAACCCAGTTACTCTTGAAGAGAAGCTGCACAGCCCTGTGTAACAGTTGCAGTTAAACTGCAACTACCACCCTCACCCCAACTGCTGGTCATGAGGTCAGACATAGGTCTGAATCCGAAAAATACCAATAAATGTGACCTATCATATTGACCAATGAGAAGTCAGACCCCAGAATTCCCCAGGGGATGCATCCAGCTGTGCCATGTGCCCTAGTGCCAGTGATCTGTGAGGGAGGGGCCAGCAGTCTGTCTGCAGAGAAGGCAGCGCTACTGCCCTTGGACGGATCCAGGACATCCTCCTCGTCACCCCTCAGCCTCATAATGCTCTCCCCCCCGCCCCCCCATTTCCTGAGACTGGAAATGAGCCACACTTTCCTGACCAGATGACAGACAGCTGGATGGACGCCAAAGGACCACACGTCCGTGGTCTCCCATCCCTTTTTCATCAACTTCCTAATTAAAAAACGCCACGCTGGCACTAGGTGTGCAGGGAGCAGGCTTGGGACATTTCACAAAATAGCACCCCCTCATCCTGGGCTGTTGCAAAGCTGTGTTCTTACAGATGTTTATGAGTTTTCTTGGTGCAGAGATAGAATCAATTTGCTGGCGCCTGGCCCTCAAGACGTATTAAATTTATCCTGAAGGAAACCGGTTTCTGAAAAGCTCCTGCCCAGATTCCTCAGGCAGGTGGGAGTTTCCGTGAACCAGAGGGTCCACGAGCAGATGCAGCCGTGATTTCTGATGCTCACAGCCTAGCGCACGGCCCCGAGCCGACCTGATTTGATGGCTCTATGGGGTGCCCTGCAGACTCGATTATTTCCACACCAGTCTGGCTAGCATCGTTCCATGGCGACAATGCTCTGTGCTTTCAGCCTCTGTTCAGATGGCACAGGCTGGTGGCATCCATGTACCAGGGAGGGGAGATCGGGGAAAATGGGGAGGGAGTCGCTAAGAACTGCCCATCCCTTTTAGGACTGAGGGGTGGGGAGCCTCTGGAATCAGGAGGTAACGCTGACTTAAAAAGCACCACTCTGTTGAGGGCCCTTAAAATACACGATGAACCGAGGTTGAGAGAACAGCAGGAAAATACCGCTCACAACAGGGTTTGAGCTAGAAATCCTATCACGAAAATCTTTGTCAATGCGCTAAAAAGACTCCCTGCCCCATGCGTCATTCATCTGCGAGTTGTCTGGTTTAGAGACCTGCGCCTGACATGCCACACTTAACAACATCCCAAGCAAATGCCCACCAGCCTTGGGGTGATTCTCTCTGAAATAGTCTGCGTGCGCTGTCTGAGCCCACCTTCAGAGGGGCAGTAGGGGGACGCGGAGCCATAAACTTCCTTCCACTCTGTTCACGGTGCAGAAATGGTCTCAGAGCAGGAGCACATGCAACACACATGAACCCAGCGGGTCAGGTCCTGTCAGCTGACACACGTTCACTTGCATTTTAAAAACGCATGCTGCATGCACTCACAGCCTTCCAAGAGGTTCATTGTAGGACTCCCAATGGTGAAAAAACACACCCTGGCACAAAAATTTAAAGCAGTAAGGTGAAACGACCTTTTGACTCAAAAATATTTACACGCATCTTCATGCATCACCCCTGGGAGCCCCGCTAAGAAAGGTGCTGAGACCCCCGACCACCATGGCCCAGAACAGACCTAGGAGACAGCAGACTTCCATGCCCACCACTCTTCCCAGTAAATCAAAGAGTGTCTGATTTTAGACTCATATTTTGGCATCTCATTGATTGCCTAAAAAATTTGCTATGAAAGCCTGCTTTTCCTTCCAAAGTTCATCTTCAAACCCTAGAGCTAAACTAAAAAAAAAAAAAAAAAAAAAAAAAAAGCCCCTTAGAAATCACATTTTCAGTCCAGTAGACATCACCATACTGCTAATTCTGGGGCCTTTCATTGTCTTTGAAGGCAGCCCTCACCGACTCAACAGTGCCTGAGAGCTAATGTGACAGGTAGTAGCATAAAGTGACTTCCTCAAGTGGAAACTAATGTGACATAATTTTGGCCCTTGAAAAAAAACAAGCTGGGCTGCACCTCCGAGAGGCAGCCGGGCACAAAGGCAGCGCGGCAGGTACCACGAAAGGGTCCCTCCTCGGGGAAATGGACACACAGAGCCGAAAACAATGCTGGTATTTTGTCCCAAGAAACTTGCAACCCATCATAAAACTAAGGAGTTATTTTAATCATAGGGAGCTTGGCTCCACTCTACAGTGAAATACAGCAACAGAAGAATAATGGAAACTTACTTTTCTCTGGATCACACTGCACAGTCTCAAAACATTTTGGTATTTAATATTATTTGGGTTAAAAAAACTCAATTGTTTCTTATTTTCATTCTAGTTTACCAGCAAATTTTGAAATGAAATAGGCTAGGTATATGTACATATGTATGCATTCATATGAAAATGAAGAATTCACCTATTATGCAAAAAAAAAATCAATGTCAGTGTTTAGAAACTTGAGATCTGAGGGAGAAAACGATGAAAGCCAAGTTTAAAAAGCTCCCCAGGAAGGGCTAATATGTCTTGCAGCACCGTCTGTCTGAGGTTTAGGCCATTGAGGTAGGGATTTTCTGTTTTGTTTTCTGCAAAGGCATCGTGTTTTTAAACAGAAGAAATGATCCTCCAAAAAGTTGCATTTTCTGTCAAAGATTCACTATCATTATGCATAGCCAACAGCTAAAGTAAAGCAACTCCTTAAAAAAAAAAAAAAGCCTAAAAATAAAAGCCAAATAAACACCAATGTTCTGCAATATTCAGGAAACTGTGAATAGTTAAAGGGTAATAATTTCTACTGTAGAAGCCGACGAAATAATTAGGTCAGCTCGACTGAAAGCCTTCCCTTCTGAGGAGAGCAGGGTCCGACTCCTTATCAGCGAATTCCCCGAGACGGAGTTTACTGACCAGACACCATATTGCACTGGTACAGCCACCGAATTCTGTAAGGAACGTGTGCATGACAATGGGAAAGTGGGCCCAGCAGGTCCACACTTACTTCTCACTCCCAGGACTGCTTTGTAGAAACCGTCTCCATTTCTCACCAGCACTGAGTCCCCGAGGCTGTGCTAATTCCTGTTTCCTGTCTGTGGAGCCTACAGAGCCATAGAAACTTCTGCTCAGCGCTCACCATCTCCAGCAAGTTGCTGGTTAAATTAGCCAAAAATCTCCTTCCAGCCAGGAAAAACACACACCAGTCAAACTAATTATGGCTGGGCTGTCACTGAACCCACATTTGCTAATTTTACTGGTCTCGGTACACTGTCCCAGAAAATATTAATTAAACACATTGAATAATGGCTGCTGTAAGATTCTGAAAGCAATCCTCCCCACACAGTCCATTTCCACTTCAGACCCGTGTCCGGGAGGACGGGTGACCCTCTGCCCCCCAGCTAGCGCTGCTCTTCGGTGGCTGCCCACACGGAGGTGAACTTTGCTCCACTTGGGAAGGGGAGCCAAGCTCGGAGACAACAAGAACAGGACATATTTACCTTAGGGAGCAGCAGAGAGAAACCTGAAGCATCGCATGCCCAAGCCGTCCGGGCAGCACGGCGCCTGCAGACCCGGCCCCGGCAAGGCCAGCCTCTCCCCCGCAGCCACCCGCCTTCCCTCCCAGGGACTCACCCAGAAAAGGCTCCCACCTGCTCGGCGACTGGGGAACTCTTCTACGGCTTCCGCACGCCCACCATTTGTCCTCCATCCATCCAATCAACTTCCCACTGCACATCCCTCGCTTGGCTCAGACCCGGCCACTGCTCATCTGTATGCTAATTATTTTGCCACATGGACAAAAGTCATAATGCTTTCCGACAGGAAACTAACAGGCCTGAAGTCGAAGATGGAAATTAATAAGTTGACACCACTAAGCGACAGGGAGGGCGGGCATGCGTGCTGGAGGCTCCGTGGCCAGGCAGCCGCAGACCAGGGCCAGCCCTGCGTGAGCACCGGGCTCCCCGGGAGACCACGGCCGCAGCACCAGCGTGAGCCGCTGACTTACCCTGGCTCGGGCTGCCTCCGCTAAGCGCTACAACACACATCCATCTCCCCAAACCCTAGCCTGGGGGGGGAACTTCGTGGCTAAGCTAGATATTTCTCAAGGTTCGGCTGTGGATTAAGCCGGTAATCGCTAGCCTTCCTGTTTATTGAATAGCTTGCCACACAGTCGGGCAGGGTTGGGATGCATGCTGTATGGCTCTTACATTGTACCCACAGGCCCCTAAATCTCTAGAGCAGAATGTGTATCATGTGCAGGGCCGTATTTAATGGAATAGAGGAGAATGGTAAATAGCAGAGGCAGGCTGTTCACAGCTCCCGGCCAGGCAGCATTTCCAGACATGCCCCCCGTCACAGATGTTATGGTAAATTCACGCTGTGGCCAAAGAAACCTCACCAAGTCAGCTGAACCCACGGTGTTCTACCTGGGACTGCCGCTCAGCCTCCAAACAAACAAAAAGGTTGGAGCCTGCCCTGCTGCCCCTCATGGGAGAGCAGTCACACAAGGGTTAACGGGGCGACTCAGCCTCCTTCAGGTCGCCAGCCACACTACCTTCTGCCTCAGTGTGAGCCTTTCTCCTCATTTTCTTTTAAAACAAAAGACAGAACGGTTTTCCTAAGAAAGTTACAACATCATCAACCTTTTAGTATTGTTTGAAGGGGGAAAAAAATCAGAAAAAGTTGTATCTGAAAAGGCAAGACCAAATTATGTTTCAAAAATACAAAAGGAACCATAGATGTCTGACTCTCATTAGCATTTTTCCTGTTAAAGGAAGAGCTGAATTTATAAATGGCTCCTTGAGTCCAGCAATACACGTTTGACTCCAGCGGCGACTCCCTGCAAACCCCCCTCGGACCTCTCCCCACTCAGAAAGGCTGCGGTAAGTCACAGCAGCTTTAGCACCTCCCACCCTCCCCGGACGGAGCCGTGAGCACTCGTGTTTAATAACAATCTGGGCGGCACGCAGACCACGGCGCTCACGGCCATGCACACAAGGGGGCAGCTCCCAGAGCAGGGCCCGCCGCGGGCTCATTTGCACGCCCCACCATGCGATTTTAAGAAGTGTAATCTGTCATCCAACAAGAGCCGGGCGAGGCAGGCGAGGAGACAGCTCTGTGTGGAAGTACCAAGAGGTCATCCGGAAGAGCTGGAAGCAGCAGCGACTGGGAAAACCACATGCAAGCTTTAAATCAGAGGAGAGGTACCTTAGGAGGAGAGCTGGTGGCCACCGAGCAAAGTCCCTTTCCGCAGCCTATTCCTGCACGCCCGCAGGGCCGTCTCTGCCCCGCAGAGTCCGTGGCACGTGTTGATCCCCTCTCCCCACACGTCTGCTCTCCATCCGCCCCTGGGCCTGGGCAGAGCCACCACGGTGACAGGTCACAGGGGCCTTCACAGAGCACAGCGCTGACGGGGGGAGGGGGAGGGGCAGCACACAGGCGTCCACAGGGACCAGGAACACCTGACCCTGGCTTCAGAGGTGGTTCTGGAGCCCGAGCCTCTGGCCGCACTGGGGAGCCCAGGCAGCTGGTCCCCCCAGAGGTGACAGTCCCCCGCCCCTCCAGCCCTGCCGAGATCACTGCAGCCCGAGCGGCCGCTCAGGGAGCCCGCATCCTCCAGCACAATGCCCCTGACTCTCAGGCTGAAACACTTCCCTCCCTCCCAACTTCCCAGCCTCACCACGTGGGGAGCAGGGGTGTTCTTTAGAGATACCTGTTAGGACGGTGTTCTAGCGGAATAGCCAGGCAGCAGAGCTCCACTGATAAGCAAGCACGTGTGCCTCCCTCTCGTTTCACACACCTGGCGTGCGTCTCCTCCGCCACCCCTGATTATTTCTACAGATGCCCCAAGGACTCGTTAGGATGTCAAAGCTTCAAACAGTTTCATTGTGGAAACAGGCATCGGAAAGTCATTGTGCACACGGAACAATGCAGGTGCTAGGGACACGGAGCGGGGGCCGAGACAGACCAGAGAGAGAGAGAGAGAGAGAGAGAGAGAGAGAGAGAGAGAAGGTAGGGCACAAAGCATACTCCAAGCTGAGGCCACGTTGCATTGAAACATAGCCTAGTGATGGGAAATGTCTAGCTGCCACCTGAACTGATCTGGCACCAGAAAAGTCATATAGTTACTACAAGGGCGGAGCATTTAGTGTGATGCCTTGTGCGAGTTAGAGCCGTTGTGGGCATTATTTCTAATGTGTGGGATATGCTAATTTAAAGTATTTTTTATATCAGCCACATATGATATTTGGATGTGATTTACCCCCTGCAACTTAAAAATGAAAATTTTAAAAATTATAGACAGGTATACGCCTTTAAGTTTGTGGTATCTCATCTCTTTAGTGTAATTTGAAATGGATGTAGGTTAATGTCATGGTGAAGACTACAGTGAGATAAAACTTAACTTGGTGAAAAACGTGGTAATTATTCTCAAGTTTTTATTCAAGCTTATCCTCCATTGCTCCCTTCAAAAGAATGCTACACATCCCCCCTCCCCCAAAGAAAACAATGATGAAGAGGGCATTTTTAGAACCTTAAAATAAGAAGATGCATAACACTGTTGCAATTAAATTACGATATCGGGTAATTTAATTATAAACATTTAGCCAAACTGGAGGTCTCTCTTTCTGAGTTTGCCGTCCACTGGCTTCCTAGACAGGGTTCTGGTAGGCTTTGCATCCAGGTAGACTTCATGGAAAAGTGCCAGATGCATTTGAAAAACTGGTCATTGATTGGAAATTCCAGCCACGGACCGAAGGGGCCATCCAGCCGGGCCTCACTCCAGGTCAGAGCAGGGTGGCATCCACGGAAGGCACCACCCTAGTCCCTTATGCCACTGCCTGGGCTTGTTAACATACAATACTTAAGAATCAGTAAAATTTTAAGTTTGATGTTAAAAATGGAGCCACAAAAATGTATAATACATAAACAAAGTGTTTCAGATGACCCAGTGTGTTTTTAAAAATCACACCTTTCCCTCAAATTAGGGTATCTTACAGGTAGAGCTGGGAATCTAGCTCACACGTGTGACTTTAGAAATATTGGGCAACAAAGTAATTTTTCACAGAGAAGTGACTGCATTTTTATCACATGTAAAGTATTTCTAAAAGAAAATCAAAATCAAATAATCAGATTATTCTAAATTTGAAATATACATAAATTTAACAAATAGAAAAACTTTAAAAAGCTTTGAAGTTGCACAATATTTTATTTATGTTCCCTAATTGATTGAAAATTGGCATAGAAAACAGACATAAAACATCAGTGAAATAATTGGGCATATTCAATAGTAAGGTGTGAAATATAAACATTCACAAGAGTAAAATATAAATGGTAGGTGAAAACTATGACAGGAACAATGAAAACAGTACATTGAAAATACCCCTACTTTCTTAAAATCATGCTACACTGCTTGTATTACCCAAAAGGAAATTGTGTGTTCCTATCCCCTTAGGATTTTTTTTTTTTTACCACACGTACATGGTCACAAATTATGGGGCCTCATCCTTAATCTCAGCTTCTACCACAAACTTATAAAATTGGCCTAAGTTTGGCTATACGATGCAAGTGTGACTCAAGAGAAGTTGAAATTGATGCTGCATGTTTACTTTCTGCCTGACTGGTCCATCTTGACCATCCTTGCTCATCTTTTCAAAAATAAACATTTTCACTGGTTACATGAATCTCCATCACACAGAGATATTCCCTTGGAGAAGCATGGCCCCATCGTGTTTACAGGGTTTTACTCACAATTATAGACATAGGCAAGTTCATGTAATGAAATCATATTCTGTTTGGTCATTTGGAAAGTAGGGCAAAAATTCCATATGCAAAATAAAGATCTAGAGATGGCATGTCTTTTCGGCCACCATCTTTAAAACACCCAGCGTGCCCAGGGAAGCTACTCCTACTTCTGCCGGCCTGCAGACAGTCATTAAGGCGCGAGAGTGAGCCATTCTCACCCTGCCATCAGCTAGAGGCAGGCAGTGGCGGCTGAGGGTCCTTGCTGCCAGAGCGGACAGCTCCCGGTGCTGAAGGGACAGGCGAGGAGCCTGGCTCACAATAGCTCACTCAAGCAGCCTTTGAAAAATCGCACAAAACTGAATGAGGTGGCAAGTACTCGGGCTGAATGGCACCGTCTACAGAACAATGGGCACCAACTCCAAATCCTACGCTAATCACATTAATGAGATTAATCAGTGAATTAGCAGCAGCCAGTGTCAGCGAGGAAGGAAGAGTCGGACCAAGATGGGTAATTAACTCTTTATGGGAGGGGGAGGGGTCGGCGATGCTCCCTCCCGGCTTCTCAGGAGTTGACAGTTCTGCTTCACCGTCTAAAGGCTCCTGCACTGGCCCAAGGCGACAGCATCCTGGGTTTTGTGTTCGAATGTGGATCCAGGGATCCCATTGCTGATGCTCCAGCTACAGTCCTCTGAGGAGTGATGTCATTTTAAGTAATCTTCAGAAACTACAGGCTTTCCCTGTTTTGAACTTTCTAAGTGTGAAATGAATACTGAAAATTAAATTACTTCCCTAAGACTCCAGCTGAAATATAAAAAATATGGCTGATTTAAAAAAGGAAGGATTATATAACAGCTGCTCTTGCTTGTGGGAAGTCTGCGATACTGTGGCAAGAGTTTTAAAAAGTGCCATCAAGTAAAAAGCTATGACGAACGTATCAGCCACGGTCTATTGTCTTTCATGGAGAACATGTCTTACCCAGCACAACTTCAAGGAGAATTTCAACCAACCGAGTTGTCACACTTGAGGTGAAAGAATCATACACTTCCTTTTAGGTCAATTAAAAAACAAAAAACTCCCTTTATCCTACAATGTGTTACTAAATTCCATGTATAATATACAGTCAACACTGGATTCAGAGTTCTTGAGAGGTGAAAACTTAGATGAAATAGAACTAGTTTACAAAAAGGATTATTGGGCAAAAATATTTTTAGTCTTAAAATAATCACATTTTTATAAGTATGGAGACATACCTCTAGTTATCACTTTATGAAGTTGAGCAATTAGAAAGACTCCCTTGTGTCTGTAAGGATGGTAGTCTATACTTTTGTCTAGGAAGTTAATTTTGTTGAGTAAAAAATACAAACACAAAAAGCTCTTATTATAAAAATATTTTAGTCTGAATAAATAACAATA